CGAAAGTTTGCAAAGAAAGTGAGATTATTGAACCGGACTGCAGAGTTATAGTGTATTGGATATCTATTATAGTATCTATCAGCGAATTATTTATATAGCTGTGATTTTGTTTTTCAAGGCCCCCACACCTGAACTTTTTTAAAGTTGGGATGTCTGCAATTCATATATCACAAAACAAACCAAACCAAACAAGAATTCAAACTAATCACTGCCCATACAGCTAGCATTGCATCGGACACCCCATAATACTCCACGCCATGCGCTCAGACTGCATACAGTAGACTATCAGAATCACATTTATTCAACACAAAATAAAAATAATAATTCATCTTGTAATACCTCTTGATTTTTTATAAATGGTTAGGAACATTACAGCAAGATGTTAAACAGATTTAGAAAGAGAGACAAACGGAACACATTCACCTTCGAGTTCTGGCCAGCAGGAGGCAGAATACCCAGCTGTGAACGTGTAAGATAGCGTCCCAATACACAGCGCCTCCTAGAGGCACAACCAAGTTAGTCCTCCACCCTACATTTACCTGTTCCTCGGGTGACTGCGTCGCCGACAGCAATTAACCAATTATCTACAGAATCAGTAAGTGTATGGTGGGTGTAGGGCATGGTGCAGCAAGCTCTAAACAGGGACCTCTTTTCTAAGAACTCTTAATTCAGATGTGTACTAGATTTCTAACCCTTTAATTAGTCATGTCTTGTCTCTAAAACAAGGATAAAGGAGACACATTGACAACATGACAATCTGTTGGGAGGGTGCCTCTGGCACATTGGGTACCAGTGCTGTGGCTGTGTACTGTGAGATAGTTTTCCATGATCTACCTGTTCCTGTGGACCAGCAGGAGAAAAGATAGATCCATCTGCCACCTCAAGACTGTTCCTGGCACTAGTAGCTGGCATGTCTCCCTCCAAACATTCCAGCTCAGGTGTCTCCTCGCTGGTGTCCCTGGCTCACACACAGCTTGTCCACCACCCTACATATTGAACTGGGATTTTTGGCCATGATAGACACAAAAGACTGAAAACTAGTCTACAGACCCTCCTAAATTAATTATAAATATAAAACAGAAAATAGAAGGTATTCACCTTCTTTGTTATGACACACCTAAATAGTTTCCAGCACATCCCATTGTCTTTAAAAATCAAACATTTGTTGAATTGAATCTACATGTGGTCAGGTTAAATATACTTATCTCTGGGAGGTCCAGCCCTTGTTTAGTAACTACAACATGAACACAAAGGAACATTCAAAGCAAATTGAAAAGCACCAATCAGGAAAGGTATAAGAACATTTCCAAGGCATTGAATATCCCTACTGCACAGTAAAGCACAGTAGAACGATAAAGTCCATATTTGTTTATAAAAAATTGAGAAAATATGGCACAACTGTGAATCTGTTACAGAAGAAGGCATCTTCAAAAACTTGTGCACTCGAAGAGCTCTAGTCAGGGAGACCACCAAGAGACAACTCTAGAGGAATCACAGTCTTTCACAGCTGTGCATATGACAATTGCCTGGGCGCTTCAAAAATCTTGGCCTCATGGGAAAGTGGAAAAAACAAAATCAATGTTGAAAAAACTCATATTAAACCTCAACTGGAGTTTGCTATAAGGCTTGAGGGAGGCACTTGTAACAAATGGAAGAATATTTTAGGGTCCCAAAAAACCAAAATTATCCTTTTTGGCCTGAACGCTCAGCGATATGTTTGGAGCATGGATGTGGAAGTATCGTGCTACGGTATGGTAGATGTTTCACTGCGTCAGGGCCTGGAAGATAGATTCAACATGGATGCAGCAAAGTACAGAGGAATCTTGGAGGAAAACCTGCTGCAATGTGCAAGAGACCAGGGCCTTAGGAGAAGATTCATTTTCCAGCAAGACAACGATCCAAAACATGCACTGGAGTGGCTTAAAAACTAAGACAAATGTTCTGCTGTGGCCCAGTCAAAGGCAGGACCTTAATCCAAATGAAAATCTGTGGCAGGAGTTGGAAATTGCTGGTCCCCATCCAACTTGAGCAACCTGAGCAATTTTGCAAAGACAAATGGGTACAAATTGCAGTGTCCAGACGTGCAAATCTGGTAGAGACATACTCAAGATAACTCCTGGCTAGAATTTCCACTAAAAGTGCCTCTACTAAATATTGACTAAAGGGGGAGTGAATACTTATCCAATCAGTTATCTTCTGTTTTCAAATGTATCCTTTAGGAGGATCTACACTATCGAATTTTATTTTCGCTTTGACGTTATATAGTGTTTAGTACCAGTCAATAGTACAAATTACCAAATAAACCCATTTAAGTCCAAATAAATGGATTTATACCAAATAAACCCATTATGATTCAATACTTTCACTCAATAAAATATGAAAAAGTCCAGGAGAGGTGAACACTTTTGAAAGTCACTGAAGTAGCTTCTCCAGCTAGCGGGGATGACATCACTTGACGGGCAGTTCAGAGAGGAGGAGGGCTGCCGGGCTTATATCTGAGTTCTGTCAGCGACCTGTTTGACAGTGTGGGAGCCGAAGAAAAAAAAACTTTGGTACAAAATCAGCAACTTCTAACACAGCAGTACCACGCCGAGTTTTCCCTGGGATTTAATCTGTTTCGTCAGGCCGTTTCCTCGTTAGAGGTAAGACCTTTTTTTTCTTTTGCTTAAAGTCCGGCTTTTATTGTATGCCCTTTTCCTCGGCGCCGAAAAGAAACCATATCTGGGCAAACTATTCAGCTGTCACAAAGCAGGACTAGCTCTGCTCTCTATAAATAGACTGGAATACTCAGTGGAAGAGGTAAGCTATCGTAAAATCACCTCCTTTTTCAAGACGCTTTGATCGGTGGATTTGTTCAAGGCATTCTTTTTTATTTTGTTTGGGAATAGTGATAAATGTGTGCAATTAATAGTTCCCGAAATTAGACATTGGTAGCGCTGTGAAGTGGACATTATTAATGTTAATTATGAAAAAGAAACGCGGCATGAAACAGAATATACTCGTGAAATTATTTGTTAAAGGATAAAGTTTTATTTTTTGAATAGCTAAGTATGTGATATTTGAATGAGTACGTTGCCGGCTTGCAGAATACCGAATTTCATATAGCGATAAAGGTGCGTCTGTAAACCAAACGGGTCTGCTAAATGAACAATGTTGTTTTCAAAAGATGGAAAGAGAGGCAGTGCGGTCTAATTTGGAAGATATTATGGAGACTTGTATTTTTCTTCAAAGTGTAAAATGTGCGTGGGTTTAGAATGTTAAAAGCACTTTAACCAAAGTGAATTTTGGAATTTTGTGAAAAACACGTGTACTGTATGAAGATGTCTTGAAATCATACAAGTACTCTTAGAAGAAAGGAACCAGATTTTGGATTTGACTTAGCACTGATTCATACGCAAATCCATGTTCTTAGAAACTTAGAACAAATGTACATTAGCAAAAGTACACCCTTTCACTGTGTATACCAATTCCAATTTATACAAATAACCCTATTGTGCGTTCTGCATTGCATGTAGAACACATATCTCGTAAAATATTAAAGACGTTTATGTGGCAGTATGCCACACATCTTGTAAACTACACCTGTTGTGTCACCTCTGTTGTTGTTTTTTTGCCTGTTTTGTTTCCCAGCACAGTATTTTTGAGGAGTATTTCCAATTGATCTGTAATAGACACTGAACTAAATTATTTATTTCAGAAATAAAACGAAATATCATTAAAGACACTAGGCACACACATATCATACGGTATATTGCGATTAACATGTCGAGGATCAGAAAATATAAAATCTTCATTCTGTTTAGTCGAAACACTTTCAACGTACACGAGTTGCAGACAACTTCATCGATCTTGAGAATGCAGCAGGAATTGTGCACAGCCGAGATCTGTCTGTACAGTTTTGAGCAATAAGTGGTTGCGACTGGATAGTTTCAGCAAGCCCTGATTTACGTGAGCTTTTGTGAGATCGCTGAATCTCTGGATCACTATTGTATCGGACAAGACATGAAAGGGGAACTCGATGCAGAACTGGATCCCGAACTTGGATTCCTTACACAAGCACCTGTGTTTTTTTCCCCTTCAAAATGTATATTTCTGTAAGTAAACCCCCCAGTCATGTTACTAAAAAAATGAAGACTGTAAAAAAAAAGGAAACGCGTGCTTGTAACAAGTGTTTGAACACACCTGTTGTAGAGGAAATTCAAGAATGTAGTAGCGATAAAAAGGCTGACATTTGTAAGTTCACGTTGTTTTAATTTAAAGTTTTCAGTTTGTTTCCCATTACTGCCCTCAAATAGCGGCTGTTCTCTTTAACCATTTAACACATGTTATCTCCGTACTCTCCCAGTAATGATGTGGTAGAGACTAAGACAAGCTAGAGACAAGTGTCTCTAAATTAGCTTTTCCCAACGTAAACTGAAAACATAAGCAGCTTAGCTTCTTCCCCAGGGTTCCTATTAGGTGGTGGGGTGATGGTACCTGCTCAGGAATTTACTTGCTCAGCCTGGATTTTTCCTGCCAGCCTCAGTGGTTACAGAATACCTTCTAAACTTGACGCTGGTAGATATTACATTACATATTACATTCCACTTTTTGGCAATAATGTAACGTTTGAGGTCATGAAGGCAATGCTTTCTGTAATATTAGTCATCAGTTCTTCCCATGCCTATCCCTAATTACAAATAATAATTATTAAAGCTCTTTTGCCGCCAGTCTTGTGACAGAGTAGGGAATTTAGAATAACTATTTCTTCCTCCTGCGTTTCTTTGAATAAAGAGGACAGAGGAACAAACACATATAGATACTAAGATATAAATCCACAAACACCCATGAATTTGAGTGTGTCCCATGAATTGGGTTAGGAACAGGCCTTTTGGCCCAGCAAGAGTTTTTTCTTGAAAGAAACCAGAGTATCAGCTGTGACAGCATGGCTGGACTCCAACAACTCTTTGGGTAAAGAAGTGTCTCCTACTCTCAGATTTAAATGCACTTTCATGTAGTTTCCACTTTGGAAATTTAGAAAAGAAGTGTATTTCTGCGTCATAACGTGCTACACAATAGTACCATTAATCACTGGTCATATTTCTTCAGGGTAAGAAAAGTAAGAGTTTGCAAAACCAGCTGGGTCATAATTCAGAACAGGGATAATTCCATTAAAAGGGCAAGGCATGAAGCTGATGTTTGTCTAGACTTTGTATTCTCAACCAGGACACAATTCATCACAGCAATCATTCTAATCCAGGGTGTCAGACCTGTAACCTAGCTACAATGTGTTCTGGATTTTATTCAGACTTCAGGCCTTGGTTTACTTATCTTCTCATTTAGACAAATATACATTTTTATTCAAGTGTTCCTGTCCCAAAGATGATTATTTCCCATATCCAACTCAGTCTGTATGATTGTGGCTTGAAAGCATTCGTGGAGTTAGCAAGAAGTGTTATCTATCCAGATAACTGAACGATTAAATCCACTAAGACCCGAAACCAAAATGTACTGCGCAATGGATAACCTACTCCAGCGATGACTGACTAGGAGGGTTTTCATAATGACCTGGGGGATTTAAAGACCATATTCCCCAGAAATGTTGGATGAATATATCCAAACACTCAAAAGAAATATGAAAACAAATACTTTGACATACAGGCTTAATGGACATACAGGAAGTATGCTAGACAATCTAAAAAAGAAAAAATGATTTCTAACTGTAGCATATAGTAAATGCCCAAATTAATTAAAAGGGGAAAGATGGAAAGCAATTCAGTATGCTATATAAAAATGGTTTAGCAATGAAAACCAGAGAGTAAATATAATATTAGCCTAATATAGATCTATATGTAGTATAATATAGGTCTTTGTTTATACTGTTTATAACTATATTTATAATATGGGTCTAGTATAGGCCTGGCATTGGAGGAGAATATAGTTAATAAATTCATTTGCATAAGTTAGGAAAAAAAGCTTATTTCAGTGGCAAAGCTACCAAGACTATTATGCCTGTTGGGCCTGATGACATGCATGTGAAGCTGGGTGAACCAGTAAATTAGGTCGCTGGTCAGCAAACAGACCCTTGTGCATGAAAAGGTGAGAAGCCCACAGGCGACTCAGGTAACTTAATATTGCAAGTATTCAGTGGAGGATAACGAAATAATCTGGATGGGAACCAGTGATCACCAAGCTGCTACGCAGGACGCTTCCTGGACTCTGTACAGAGACCTTTACTGGACGAGCCACCTGGGAGTCCCTAAATTTATAATGCTATGTAATGATATTTGCTTTTGCCAAAGAAGTCTGTAAAGTAGCTCGGCACAGTGGAATATAATTTCTGGACAGTTCACGTGGGTGGGAAATTGAAGGAGCATTAGGCAAGGCAATACTTAATCTTCTCCTTTTTCTGCAGCTCTGCTGTCAGCCAGATATACTCCTTAAGAGAAGGACACAGGTGAATTCGTGCAAGTGTAGCGTGACGTAAAACTTTCACTAACGCTGTTCATTTCGCACTTTAGTCGATCACTGCATCTTTAAAGCAAATAATGAAACCCACTCATGCTCTTAATGAAGAAGTTCAGTATATTTTGGTTTTAGAGAAAACATGTTGACTTAGTTCTTGATTGCTTCATTTGCTTTGTGTGGTAGCCCAGCTTTAACTATTAACTGTTCTTTGTGTGATTGATTAGATTATTTTTAGTATAATGCAGAGGCCTCACATTACAGAATAGACACTTTCCTTTGAAAGAACACATTAGTTCTGGAATTGTGTGCAGCAGTTTAGATGTATGTGGATTAATGGCTTGTTCTGTTCACTGTTACAGCAAGTCTCTTTTGTGTTATAGGGCTAGGTGCCATGTCTCTGATTTGTTGTTAAATGCAAGTATGTCATGCCTGCTGGTTCTGTACATCCTCCAGTTTGAAATAAATGCACAGCACATTATATATTTTGGGGTAAATTTACTATTTGAGGAATAAGATTTAGAAATATTATGCTTGTACTGTATATGCTTGTTGTACATTTACAAAAAATAAAAAAGTTCTGTTGTTAACGTTGTGCAAAACTGCAATGCACAAGTGGAATGCATGGAACACTTTTTCGTAATACAATAATAAACCAAACAATTTAAAGCACATTAATTATTGCAATATTGAGATGGATTGTGCAAACAAAAGTAAACAAACTAGTAAACAAAACAAAACAAAACAAAAAGCAAAAGAAAACTTCACAACACAGAACACAGGAGACCTCAAGAGAGGCAAAAGAGCAGTTGACCTCTATTAATGGAGTAATATGTCAGCGTTGCTTAGTGAAAGAATAATTACACAAAAAATGATATATCAGCCATTTCAATTCTGTTTGTCAAGTTTTGTTTCTCATCGCTGTAAGCCTCAATAATGTGAGGGATGGGAAGTAAAAATATTGCCACTATTTGTGTACTATAATAGGCTTTAGATTTAGTTTCCACAGAAAATTGGAATCTATAGCCGTGGAAAAGATTGTCATGTCCGCCAAACCCTCACAAGTCATGTCAATGAGAGAAGGGAGATCTAACACACTAGATTTGACATTCTGTCTGCTTAAACATCACCCAGACCTAAAAATCAGATCTAGAATATTATGTGGGGCTGTTTCTATTTACCGTTTTAAGTCAATCAGTTAAGAAAAGCAAAGCAGGCCTTTCCTTCAGACCTCTGGGCCTCAGTCTATCTATTGTTTATCAAGCCTCAGGGCTGCTCTTGTCATTAATCTGGGGGATAATGCATTCAATAGGATAAAGATAGTTTATATGTGATTGCCTGTCCTATTTTGTTCACATAACACGTTATGGAGAGACACCACATTTTTAGAATTACTCTGAATTAGACTACAATGGGTCACAAGAAATTATAATCAAGAATGTACATTTTGTTGATTTAGTATACACTCTAAACCTGGCTTATATTATTACTACTTGTCACGGAAAACACGTTCATCAGCTTACTGTAACAGCCTTGCAAGCTTTACAGTCATCTCAGCACGAGTTCTTATATAGTTTTTCAGAGTATAAAAAGCTAGTCCTTTCTAGCTGTCTGGCAAGAACATTCTGATTTACAAACTTTTTGTTATGATGTTCTTTATTGCAGTATTACGTCTTAAGTTGGCATTTTTTACTGACCTATTAATCCTTATGCTGGTATATTATCCTGGGAGTCAAATTAAAAGACACAGTGAGTATTTGAACCAATGTTAATGTTAATGCTCCTTTTGCACCTGTGTGGGTTTTGTGGTGAGCAGGTTCCAAATGTACCAAGGCAAATTCCTGTACCTGACACATACTGGCGAATAAAAGCGATTCTGATTCTGATGATCTCGTTTAAACATAAAAATGTTTTTCCTCTGTGGCACTAATAAGCTTTCATAATTTGAGTCACATTTTTGCATTTGCTTCCTTTAAAGGTATCCCAGTAAGATTCTGATATGCCAAAATAAGGTACTTAATATTTGCACGTTTGGCATTAACTCATCTTGCTTGAGGCAATTGCAACCGAGGCCATAAGGTGAGGTTGGCCAAAACCCCTCCCCCCGCCAACGGCATTAATAAAACATTGGACAATATACAGAACATGGACGAGTCACAGCACAGTCACAGTATGCGCTCACGGTACGAAACATGTAGACATTTCAGTATATAAACACACGACAAGTTCAGACCATGTGCGAAAGTACGTAATATTGATTACAGATGAGATCATATTTGCAATTAAATCACATATTTGTTGTGTTTAAATGTGATAATTTTGTGTTTAAATGAGAATCTGATAATACACAAGATAGCACTGCTAACGCCTCTCACCAGCAACAGGACTCTCTTCATTAATGTATTGTTCTTTTGGCTACTGCTTGTGTGCCATCCTGCAATTGTTTTCCATTTTGTGCAGCATTCCCATATTCCTTTACATTTCTGTGCAAATACTGTCTGTTTTCTTTCCCTTCAAATGACACATTTTCTGCATTTTGCCACTTAATTCCAAATTTAAATGTATTTGATGTAAGCTTAGGCTATTAGCTTTTGAGTTTTTTGTATTTACAGTTTCAACAATCAACCAACAATAACAGTCAGACTTAAGTCTTTAAGTGTTGGTAAATCCGTTGTCATTTCTGTTTTTCACAGAAATAGTGAAAGAGGCACATGTTTAACCCAGGAATGCTCAGTTGCTCAATGATCAGAAGGGTGTTCTTTTCATTTATACAGAAGACATTTTACGTGCTACTTTAGATCAATTCATTTCCACAATAAGGAATGTGACAATATTCTTCTATTATTAAAGACAATGCGACTTTGCATGAGACAATATTATTGTATACATATTGCAAGGTATTAATTTATTAGCCTTTATTGTTCACAAAGTAATTATCATTTTTTAAGAAAATGTTATCTTGTTTAAACACAAAAAGTATGTTGGAAACACTTTTTTATTTTCTCCTCAGTGCAAATAAGCTTCCGTATGAAATAGTAAATTGAAATAAACATATCTATGATTAAGACCTAAGCCAGAGCACACCAGTGACTGGGAATCACTGATCAAGAGGGATGTTGTTCAGCTTGTTGTTCTTGGAGACTAGGGCTGAACCTGAACCGTTTTACAAGGACGGAGACTCTGTCACACATGATGTATTTCTGAAACAAAATTTAAAATAATTTACTGAATAAAGAACTGTAGCAAGAAATGTGTTTAAGGTATTCATGCTGTGTATATTATGTAACAGGGCAGTACTGTAAATTGTCACATCTCCTTTTCAATAAATGCTGTTTTATAATATGTGTCATGCTTCTCTCTCCAGGTATTTGTCTTGAAGACACTTTTGTGGGAGAGAAGGCTTTTTTGCCTGTGTTTTGCCCCTCTGCCATGTCATATAAGAAGGAACTAGAGAAGTACCGGGATGTGGATGAGGATGAGATTCTGAAGAAGCTGTCGGAAGAGGAACTCCGGAGGTTGGAAGATGAGCTGGAGGAGTTGGACCCTGATGTGAGTCT